CCAGAGCCTTCGACAGTAAATAATAAATTGAAATGTCGCGAAGGCTCTGGTTCAACGGGGCGATTCTTTGATTAACCCTTTCCTGCATAATGTTGCTCTGCAGCAACAATCTTCCTTTAGCTAATAATAGCTGTGGATAATTACTCGCTGGGGCACCTGTGCCCCGGACGAGTATAGGTTTCGGCCAGAGTAGAGCTAGCCTACGGTGTAGACCCCAGCAGAAACACGTTTCGTGAGCGGCCTACGAATAAACGAAGAAAAGCTTGCCCGGGCTACGTCATATCCGTTTTACGTTTTGGGTAAATTAACTTCAATTTATTCAAATTTCTGAAGCGTGCGTGAATGTAAATTTTCATTTGGCGCTTATTGAAGGCATTAAAATGTTCCATGACGGGCTTTGTGCAATACAAATGTGTTCTTTGCTTCAAAGTTCCGTCGCATACAATTCTTGGACAGCAAGGACACTGTACGTAAGGAGTTAGACGACCTTTCCTTCTCCATTTCACCTACAAATAGCATTTGTAAAGCATGCCTGGCCGCCTGGCATGGTAAACAAACGGTGAAACGGAGAAGCTTCAAAGAACGGTTTAATATGTGAGCTAGAGCCTAGACAATACGATAACCAACGTGCACGAAACAGCATTAAACGCTATTGATAAATGTCGTGAACCAACTAGGATTCGAGCCGACTTGCGATAAAGCTTTTATGCCGGCTACATTTAATAGTGGGAAATAGACTTTGTCTTCGACTTCGGAAATTAGATATCTTGACAAGTTTCAAGCCTTCAACAGACTAACAGTTTGTACGAATGACAAGAACTTTTTAGTCCGTTCGAACATGTGTTTAATGGTTGGGTATATATATAGTCAGGGTATATTTTATTGCACAAAGCCCGCCATGGAACATTTTAATAAGCGCCAAATGAAAATTTACATTCACGCACGCTCAGAAATTTGAATAAATTGAAGTTAATTTACCCAAAACGTAAAACGGATATGACGTAGGCCGGGCAAGCTTTTCTTCGTTTATTCGTAGACCCCTCACGAAACGTGTTTCTGCTGGGGTCTACACCGTAGGCTAGAGTAGAGCTCAGTGGTTTCGGCTTGCATTTGTCACGGATCACGGATCTCCAATCGTCGATAGCCACAAAATAGAATATTAATGAGCTGCTTGATCCTTTTCAAAATGACGGGGCCTTTCGTGGAGTGGGCAAAATGTTTCAAACAATTCCGGGCCCCATTTCCTGAAAATTTTGGCCTAATTGTACCTGTTTTCTATGGATTTTGCTTTGTGTCTAACTCTGGACATTCATGCTAGTTTATTTAATGCGTTTTTCTTGGTGCACGACTCTGAAAATCCGAAATTTGGATCGTTGAATTCCCGTGCACGATCATGATATACTGAATCTGAATATAAAGGAGCCAAAGACAATTTCAAGGTAAAAGGTTATTTATTAAAACTACGTTGTGCAGTTTAAATTATAACTACTTTATGAGAAGCATATTGGTGTCATATCAATATAAAATTTATCGAACATCAGTCTGTGAAAACTGTCAGTGCGAAACATGATATTGTATTTGTAATGCCTCTTATAAATGGCCCAATAAGGATAAAGATACTACCGTTCGATTCAGCGTAAGAAATTGTACTTACAGATGTCAAATGTATTACTAAACAGCAGTATTCTAGCGATTTATGGCCTTTGAAAATCAAGCGAAATTGTATTAATTGTTGACATCAAATCACTCGCAGTACGTTTGTCTTGACCTTGACCTTGTATTTGTATTGCCTAATTAATGGCGCAATAAGAATAAAAATACCACCGTTCGATTCAGCGTAAGAAATTCAAAATTGTACTTACGGATGAGAAATTGTACTTACGGATGTCAAATGTATTACTAAACAGCTGACAACAGTATTCTAGCGATTTATGGCCTCTGACTTCAAGCGAAATTGTATTATCAGGTTGACAAATCGCTCAAATTATAAAAGATGCAGTACGTTTGATCCTTGATAACTTTGGTATCATTAGTTTTCTCTTTTTCGGCCGTACATCAGTGGATTCGTCTCACTTCTCTCTTCATTTTGATAATATTTTGAGCCCAAAAGCCCCAAAATATTTTATTTTGAACGTTTTAAACTGGCCGCCGACAGAAGAATGTAGCGTACTATAAAATATAACTTTACTTGTCGGGGCCAGGCTTAATTTCCACACCAGGCTTAATATACGCACGTAAAACTTTAAATTTGTAAAATAACCAAATAAATAAAGCAACAGAATTTACTGCTCCGCAAGTTTCAGTATGAATTTGTTAACTTATCTGTAAAATATTTAAAAATAGAAGGATTCAAAGTTTTACGTGCGTGTACGTGCGTACGAAAAACGCAACAGTGCCAGTGGAAATCAGCCTTTAGATCTTAAGAGGGCCCTGAAGGTATAAAATGGGAACTGGGATTGTCTATATTTAGACTGGGAAAATGGGATTTGGGTTGCTGGGACTGGGATTTGGGCACTGGGAATGAGAAATGAAGTCCTCAAAAATGGGAATGGGATTGAGGTAATGCGAGTCGATTCCCAATTTTTCTGCGTTTTGAGTATTTTAAAATACAATTTTGATCTGTTTTTAGTGTGAAGTTTCACTTCACACTGTTGTGATGGCTGGCGAATTCACACGAATCAGTCAGACAGGCAATCAGGCAGTCATTGAGTAAACTTTCCGGGGGGTTTATACGATTTATGTTCGCAGTGATTTATTGTACTTAGTCAGTGCTTTGAAGGTTATTTAAGCAATTTTATTTACTTTCTTTAAATATTCTTTTTTCCTTTTGCCAAGTTCACAAAAATTTCGAGGAATCGTTGTCGTTATTGTAAATTTTTGTAATTTTAGAACATTCGCTTCTCATGTTGTGCAAAGGATCTTTCCCCCGGAACACCCGATTTTTCGTAGAAGCGCAAATGCGCATGCGCTGTGAAGCCGTAGATCACGATGCTGGGAAGGAGCCGCAGTGCGGCAGGTACAAAACGCAGGTTGCAGGTTGGAATTTTGCAGGTTGCGAATTTTGCAGGTTGGAATTTTGCAGGTTGGGGATTTTGCAGGTTGGAATTTTGCAGGTTGCCAGGAACTTTGCAGGTTGATAATGCAGACTTAAAATTACACCACTTTTTCAGTATTCTAGTATAATTTGGTTGTGCATTTATTGCAGTCTGACTCCTTGTCGGCGCCTCTGCTCTAAGGCTAGTGGCCATCACCCCAGTGAAAACATTCAAAATGACCAGATTGGCTTGGACCTACAGGGAGACGAATGCAGTGGCGTAGGAACAGGGGGGGCCAGGCTCCCCAAGTTTTGCCAAGTGCCCTTTTTCCGGCAGCAAAGTGCCCTTTTTTTGTGTTAAAAATGTTTTAAGTATTGCCTTTTTTTGCCCAAAGCGCACTTTTCGAAACTTGAATTTATGTTATTTTCCGGAATATTTTTTTTCATTTCCGGAAAAAATATGACATGTCTGAAAATTTTTTTGGTATTTCCGGAACATTTTTTTCATATTTAGGAAAATTGGATATATCCAGAAAAAAATATTTTTAGATGCCCTTTTTTATTCGTCAAGTGCCCCTCAAAGCCTGGCACCCCCCCCCC